TTCCTGCCAGATGGCGCCGTGGTAGAGCTTGCATGACAGCCAGCTGATCTGCTTCCCTTCGTTGATGTTTTACCCGTGTAAGAATGGATAAATTTATGCCAGTAGCCAAAATAAATGACCAGTACAAGCCATAGGCATTTTTTCCTCTAGTGAGATGTATTTCTGCAACCTGCATTCCCTGGCAATTATCCCATGCAGAAAACCTGCCGCAACTTCAGGCACTGCAGAACCTCCACTCCATAAGGGAGGTGTTATCCATCCCTCTAGGCCCTCCTAAATCCTGCTAGACCCATATCTTGCCCTGATGTTTGAAGTGGCCAGGTGGGAAAGCGTGACATGGAAGCTATTGGGTGATATGCAAATTATCTCTAAATGTGCAAACATTTCTGTAATAATTTTCATGTACTGTAACACACAAAACTGCCCAAAGCCAGAGCAGAGATATGCCATACGGGGAAAGGAGAAAAGAGAGCACAATGTAAGGACATGCCAAAGGGATCTCCTCTGCCTTTAGTTTACTGTTCCTGTCCTGAAGTGACATGTAATTTGGATTCAGCAGCACACAAAGGGTGAGAAGGAAGAGGAGGCTGGTTTTATTGGCATATCCAGAAAGGGGAGTATTTTGGTGGGTGTGCTAATTCTTTTCCTTTCTGAATGTACGAAACATAATTCAGCCCTTAACCTCTCTCCTACTCTTACTTTCTCTCCCTTTGTAGATGTTGTCTTCATGTTAGCCTAATTAATGTCATCATTATATTTTTAAGTCATTCAAAAAAAAAAAAGGCCTCTGCAGCAAGCTTAGTGCAACCGACTGAATTTCATTTGATTTTGCATCTTACAGAAATGGCAAGTGCTATGTTGCCTAAGAAATTAAAAGGGCAATTTCCTGATTTTTTTCTTCTATTTTTTTGGCCAGAGTATGGAATTTATAACTCTGGCGAGACAGTGGCCCCCTCAGTGGCTGAGACTCATTTCAGAGACAATAGATGTTGTCCTAACTCTGTCACTATGGCCACATCAAACCATTGTTATGGCTGCAAGCCAAGAGAAGAAAAAAGAATCCTTTTTATTATTGCCTTTCTATGCGATCTTTGCAACTTGGCAAGGTTCTTTCGAATGTGATTTTGCAAATCTTAAATGCAATGTATTATATTGTATTATTAACCTTGTATTTCATATCCCTTTGATACGATTCCTTTGCAAATGCTTGAAGTCTACATGGATCTATCAGGTAGCTTTAAATGCATTCTACAAAGAAACCTTAAATAATACAGCTACTAAAAAGGTTTTTCTTTTAGCCAGAAATTCAATCTGCTGGCATATATCATCTTGAAGGAAAATGTTTTGTTTGTGTTCCACGAGTAGTGTTTTAAGTTGTTACTGATGTTGTTTATTCCTTTATTATTGTCATACAACTCACAAGGAACTTAATTTTTGTTTCAAAGTATTTTTGAATGTTATGCAAACTTCACATAAAAGCGTAAACATTAATGGTGTATATTCTTTTTATTTAGGTACCTTTGTTACTAAAGTAACAGCTACAGATGCAGATGATCCAGTTTATGGAAATAGTGCCAAGCTGGTTTATAGCATTCTGGAAGGACAGCCTTACTTTTCTATTGAGCCACATACAGGTAGGTGAATATGAATCCCTGGGTTATATTTACACAAGTGCCTTTTACGTATTTCATAAAACATACTTGAACAGGGAGCGTAAGTAGATGGCTGTCAGTATTACTGAGTTGTAACACATCTCGCTTGTATTCCATCAGTCTGATCATGTGAAAAGACAAAGAAAAATCTGTATTAATGGTAATGGTGATGCTACTATTACAGAAGTTACTGAAGCAAAACTGAAGGTAGTGGAAGTGCTGTGTGACTCATAACTGATTAGGGATTGAAAGACTTGGCCTGAGGACTTTAATGAGCATAATGTAATTTTCAATATGAGACTGTAGTATTTCCAGTTAAAGAAAGTACAGAATTTTAGTGAATATAGTGTGTGATATCATTAAAAATTGTCTGTGTTTCTGGATTGGATGGGTCGGCGACAAGAAAGATCACGATACTGAATGTTGGTATGAAGTTTCATTAGCATGCATTTAGGATGACTATTTCTTTGTGGTTTTAAAGTGTTGAAGGTCAACTGAAAGAACTGCCAATAAATCCACTCCCTTTTGTTTTCTGTACGTACGTCATACTTACAGCAAATTCTTTTAGTTATGTCTGAGAAGTGTTTTTTAAAGTGATTTGATATTATTTCTTATATTCTTTCACCTGTTACTAGAAGCTGTTTTAATCACTGTGAGTCAAGCTGCTGTCATCACCTAAGAAGGAGAAAGCTGTAACTCTTTTCAAAACATACAAAAAAATCTGAATTTATATGACCATAAAGGAATAAAGCAGGAGTAAAAATTGTTGTCCTCATAGAGATGAAGAAAATTATGAAATAAGTGCTAGGAGAAATCATTAAAGGATGGTTTTGGTAGATCAAGTATGGTAAGTTTTCTCACCAACATTAAACAGAGTACTCTTAGACTCTTTGAAGTCTGGAAGTTCTTTAACTCTTTCTGGTGAGATGGCATGGGAGAAATTATTTCCCTTTCCTAGAAATGCCCTAACTTGCAGGGACTTTAGGTAAGTGGTATAGGTCAATAAATATCAATAGATTAATGGATTAATCCATTAAAGTATTTTCTTCTTGTAGAAGGACAGCAATCCTAAATGTAAAAACAGTCTCTGGAATAGGATTCGGTATTTTATTTTATGCTGCATGTAAAATAGAGCTTTACAAAGAGTAACTCTAGCACAGCACAATGGAAAACCAGTAGCTTGATTCGAAAGTATGTGAAGAGAGTGTTACTGGTGAAGCCCCTTAGCTCACGCTGGCTGATTTGTCACAGGCCATGTGGAAATGTGACTCTGAACAGACCCCTGACCATCAAGTGTCAAATTATTTCATGCACTAATGACTTGAGTTAGGTGTCTTAATTGGAGGGGGATTAGCTGTAGGCTCTTTCTCAGTTTCTACTAGGGAAAGTTAGTACTTTAGCATGGGAACACATCAGCTTTCACAGAGGAGCTAAGAAGTGCATTCTCCACCTACACAGAAGATTTTTCACTTCTTTCCTGCAAAAATAGCCTGAAAGAAATATCCTGAATGTAAAAAATTGTTTCATTTTACTCAGGTTTATTATTTGTATTGCATTAAAACCTTATGATTAATCCAATGAAGTAACTACTCATCACCTAGGGAAGTGATTTCCATTGTCATGAAAGCCAGGGAAAACTCCAAAGCTTTTTCGTGAACCTGAAAATCATGATTTTTCTCCTGTTTCACTAGCATTAAATTCCCCCTCCTACCTTCATTTCCAGTTGAAAATATTCCTTTGAGTATCTGTTCAGTTACCGTGAAAATGACATGTTAGTTTCTAAAGGGAATTTAATCATAAAGAATTCGACTGTGGCTTTGCCACAGTCTCTGAGTAAGTGGCTTCATATTACGGAGCTGCTTCTGAATGAATAAGTGGTTTCAGATTCTCCATTTTTCTAGATCTATGGAGGACGTCAATTATGTTCTTCTCTAAACCATTACAACTGAATGATTTTATGTACCGAGGCCATCCTCTGTTTCTTTGCTATCTCTGTAATGGCCTTCATCTGTAGTGTAACTACCATGCTACTCTTACAGCTACCCACCAAATAGTTAAATCCAGAGAGTATGCAGTTGTTTCTATGATATTAGATGGGGCCATCCGTTGCTTGTAATATTTTAAAGTTTGCAGAATTTGTTCTTGTGTCTGAGATGAGTCTTCATTCTGAGATGTTTCTCCATTCACTTAGAGGAATATTGTCCATACTAACTGTTCAATTGTGTAGAGCCCTCCAGCATACATTTGTTTAGGATATGTGAACAATAAATATACATAGCAGTCTAGTCATTAAGCAAACCAGATGCAGGTAGTCATGTAGAAACTGCAGCCACATATTATACAGGGTGAAAAAGATTGCTCTAAAACCCAGCAGCCTTATGGTTGTGGTTCTTCTGGAGCAAAATGTCGATGTCAAAAAACATAAGAAACCATGCAGCAGATTTTCTTGGTGATACCAGAATTTTGGAGGAAGGGTATGATAGTGTTTATTGCATACCAGAGAGTGTTGTATGGGTTGTTACATGCAGTCTCAAAACGCCAGTACTATTTTGCTAAGATAGCTACTATTTTGCAATATCTTGTGACGCTCTGTATTTCACCTTTTAGTGTTAAAACACACACAGTAGTTCAGCAGCTGTATAGTTTGGACAGTAGTGCCATTGCCATAAGCAGAAGGAGTGGAAGGTGCATTTTAACAAAAAGAAAATGTCCAAAACAAAGTATGTAGATGTTTGATTATTTCTTTATATTTATCCCATCTTAGCGGTGTGAACCATCACAACTAATATTTGTTTCCTCTTAGTAACTAGGCCAGGAAAACACATTATCTTAGACATTTGTATGTAGTACTCAGGAACCTCAGTGAAAGTTTTCATCTGGGAAGATAATTAGGTACTGTTGTGACAGTGTACAAATTAAAGCAGAACAGCCAGGTATAGTAGTGTGTTATCCAAAACAAATCAAACCTGCAGGTGATCTTCCAAGTGTTGTAGATATTTTAGGGTTTGGGATTGGTTTGGTTTCGGGGGACACAGATGTGGATGTGTGTATAGCTACATTTTCTCTGTGATTACATTTCATTAGTGCCTCTGCTCAATTGAAAGCCTTTCCAATTCATTTGAAGCAGAATTGTTTCTGAACACAGGTATTCTTTCTAGAATTGTGTCTTTCCTAAAATGGAATCCCTGTTTTAAGAAGTGGACTGTGTTAAACTGACCCGCTTTGGAATGTAAATATTTTCTGTCATTCAAGGGAGAGTATCAAATATTATCAAAAGTATAGCTACTTAGAGCTGCTCTACTTACTACTTTTCTAGATGCCTGGCCTTTTATTAGCTTTGTTTATTAGAAATTAAGACTAGATTTAGATCTGTGCAGCCACCAGCACCAGGGCAGCCATACAGGTACTGCCTATCATTTTTTCATTTCCTGTCTCAGACTAAAGATTGTCTGACCTTGCTTCTTAATTTTAGTGGTATGCTGAGAGCTGACCATCAGAAATAATCCAGACCGTGCCTCCTGATTCCTCTCTCTTCTGTAGCACTCTGAATAAAAAGAGGGAGCAAAGATGTAGGATACGGCTTCGTGCCTATGGTAGAAAGGGTTGCTGCAGCTGAGGGTAAGCAGGAGGAAAGCAGTTGCTTAATCTTCTGCTTTTTTGTTCCTACTGACTTGACATTAACTAGGTGTAGTCCTTATCTGAATCACACTCTTGGTTGAAACTCTGATATTACTCTCAACCTCCTTGCTGAAACAATTCTATAATGCTAGGTGCACAGAAATAAGTACTGGTAAGTGACCCATAAAACAATAATTTTCCATTACTTTAGATGAAAAATGCATATACTTCTGGAGTTCTAGTTTGCAAGTTCTTCTGTATGAGTAATAGACACACGGATGAAGGTAATTCAGCGGTTATTTTTTATTCAGTGCTCTGAATATGGCTTAGGGTAAATGCTTTCTTGATGGCTTGCTCTGAATATTTTTCACTTTTCGTAGGTGAATTTTAATGTGACCACTGGTTTGCTGCATAGAGAATAAACATAAATAGTACATTACAAAGATACAGATTCAGATTTTCTATGAGAGGCTAAACTTACAATGTGATGACATCAGATTACTAGTGAAATTCTTGGTGGACTAAAATATATTCCATAAATCATTATCGTTAACATCTGACTAACTGACATCAGGTTTCCTGACTAGTATGTGTTATTTATAAAGGTATACAAGTTGAATGTGTCGTCTCATAATCCACATAATGACAGTCAAAATGCTGGGGAAGGGGGTTCCTTAAGATTGCTAAAAGTAGCTAAAGTACACTTCTCACTTTTAAGCTTTTTCAAGGATATTAAGTCATGACTGTCAGCTTTAAAATAAGATTATCATAATGGAACGCAATATGAAGTAACACTGTGTTCTACAATATAGGAATGGCAGAGAAAATACATTTTCAGCTGTGTCTGACTTATTTACATTTCACATGAACTCCTACACATACCTGCAATACAGTTACATGAACAAGGCAAATTACACCAAACATCCTACTGCGCTGGCAAACTCGTTGTACTATTAAAGCAGAAACACTTACTGTGTATGAAAAAGAACAGATTTCGAACGCTGCCATCTTGGATATGGCCAGTTGGTAGAAAGCCAAAGTTCAAGTTAGTGAAGCTGAGATGAATAGAAGAGTCAGGAGACCTAGAAAACTAAAGATTCTCCTAATAGAATGTGGATATTTTTTTGGAGAGTGAATTATTGATTTTTTTTCTATACCCAGCTTTAATTTCCAGGTGAAAGTGTACATGCTTTAACCAACAGAGCTTTTAATGATTTTGTATATGGGCCTCTCTGGACCACAGTGTTGAACCCTGTGGTTCTGAAATCAGAACATAAATGAGTAGGCCTAGGAGAAATGAAAATGGCATTCAGCAGAAGTCAGATTCGAATCTTCTATTTTAATTTGCAGTCTTTATTATCTTC